CAAACATTTCTATGTTCAGTCACGGGATATTCAACTCTAGTTTAATTAAACTTAATTAAAGTGCAATTCTCCATTGTATTGCATTGTAATTGAGTTTAATTAAACTCCAATTAAAACGCAACCCTATATAGGAACGCGTTTTAATCGAGTTCATATCGCAACTATATTAAAAGTTAATTCAACTATATTAAAAGTTAATTCAATGGTGGCTCCACAATTCATGGGACACCTGTATGTGTGTGTGTGTGTGTGTGTGTGTGTGTGGTTTATTTGAATATGTGTACAGGACATAGTACAGTAAATGCATTAACATCAACAATACAATATACAAATTTATAACTCACTTTGATGTTGTAATTGCAGGGAATGCACTACTTGCATAAAAGTGTTATACGTACACACGGTCGTTTAAAATCATCTAATTGTTTGGTCGATGGGCGATGGGTTGTTAAGCTCAGTGATTATGGATTGTGGAATTTTCGGGCCAATCAACAAACACCAAGTCTTGGCGAACATGCTGAGTATATGGGTAAGCGATATGTATATAGGATATGTATCTGTATTAATTAAAATCCAGTAAATGAGGTTACCACAGTTACATTTGTAGGAATTCAGATCGACAACCTGGCAATGTCACAGAGCAAAATCAATCATCTGATCTTAGATGATTAGAAAAAAACTACCATATTACTAAATCCTTGATTCAACCTCACATCACATATGAATTAGAAGTATGGGGAAATACATCCCTAAGACACACATACAATGTATTGCAAGAATCGTAACGTTCTTTGATTTTACTGCATCGTTCGCTCCAAATTTTAAACACGCTAAACATTTTCAGATGATATTTCTGTGTGCAAAATGTCGCATGTTCTACGGTTTTATTTACTACAGGGCTATATTATAAGAATAACACACATCATACACCATGGAAAACTAAAGGAAAATGTTCACATGTGACGAATATAAGGTGTGGCATATTTCATGGACGGCTAAACTATATTCAATGTCACATTATAATAATGACAAGGTATTCTGTTGCAGGAAAATTCTGGACAGCACCTGAACTATTACGCAATCCATATATCATGGATAAAGGAACTCCAGAGGGAGATACCTATAGTATGGGCATTATACTTCATGAAATTGTTACCCGAGCTGAACCCTATCATTATTACTGCGAAATGACACCTAAAGGTAGAAACGATTATTTTTTGCATAGTTTTTGCGTAATTGACGATATATTATGTGTTGTATTTTATTCTTTATTAATAGTCAAAAAGAGCGGCATAGGACGCCTACTAATACTTGTTTTTTCAGAGGTAATAGATCAAGTGAAAGTAGCAAGAAATCCACCATTCCGACCGGAAGTACCTTCAGAAATGCGTTCAACCGAAATACACAAGTTGATGGTAGCCTGTTGGGATGAAAATCCCGAACGTAGACCAGATGTTAGTGATATTAAACAAGTTATAAAATCAATCTTTCCTCACAGGTAACCATTACGATTCTGCTTCCTTAGTACACAGGATGACTGTAAAAACTATAATCTCTATCTACAATTTAGGCAAAAGCAAAATAAACTTAAACATTTCTTTCAGGAGCATCATGGACAACATGGTCGCCATGCTGGAGAAATACGCTAACAACTTGGAGGATATTGTAACAGAACGAACATCTCAGTTATCAGAAGAGAAGATGAAAACAGATCAATTGCTTTACAGAATGTTACCTAAGTATTACCCATAACCACAATTACCTACATACCAAATCATGTAGTAAAATTATACATGGCATCTGTCTTGTTATTGTGCTTTTGACCTTGTTATATTGACATTGTAGCCGGCGTGGGCAGCATATTACTACTGAGGCATTTCGATTTCGATATATTTTATATATTAGCTTTATAACTTAAGTATTGACGATATATGTTCGCTGTATCTCGCGGATAAAATTATAATCTTTTCTACGTGGCACTGCTGTATTTGTGAATTAACGTGCAGTTCTCTTATTAAACACCACTCTTCCAAAAACCTTTAATTTCACAGACCCATAGCAGATGACTTAAAGATGGGAAAAACAGTCGAGGCTGAAAACTATGAAGGCGTCACTATATTTTTCTCAGACATAGTGGACTTCACTAAGCTGTCAGCTGCTAGTACACCGATACAGGTACATTATTACAATCACTTATCAGACCGAACAAGTTCCAGTAATAATATTTTCATTTATATATACAATTCTTTTCACGAGTGATAGGATTGTTGTAAGTAACAATGTTTTTCACACGACACAAAATACAGTTTGAAACGCCAGCAAATTGTGACGCCAATTTTTATGTTACTGTCGAGTTCATGAAAGCAGCACTAGCAATATATTCTGGCGTACTTCCAATTGACCAATCAGGGCGGTTTATTAATTACGTCACTGAAACAATTGACCGCAGCAGCAGCTCTCCATAGGAAACGGGGTAAATGTCGTCTGCTTTGCCTGTCTTTGTAAATCGTTATAAAAACAATAGGCTGGTAGGGAAGTTCAAATTTGTATTCAGACTTGATTAAAATCATATTGAGTTCGTGAAATAAATTCTAAAATCCACAGTTCAGTGCCCCTTTAAATCATGTATTAAATGTATAAGTGCTTACGTTATAAACGGAATGTTAAGTTCAAAATATTGAAAACAATATATAATTTGGAAAGTCACATATGTATTTAGATGTATTCATTCAAACATGTTATAGCACTGTTTCACACTGTTTCAAACTGCGTTTTGGTGAGCAGTAAGACATACGTGGCGGTGAGTGCGCATGCTTACAGGTAGTGGCGGTGAGCGAGTCTGCTAACGTGGCCTGCTAGGGAGCACGCGAGTTTGAATCTTGTGTTTCATGTTTATTTATCCGTATATTTGCCTGTAATTTCGATTTGTTACAGTTGTGTAAAATCCCCCAAAGCTCGTGAAATTCTACCAAACACTGTTCCCTTCTGTGAGACATAACAACATCTAATATGGCGTTAAAACATCCTTCAACGCATATTCAAACGAGTTTTGTCATGCACAAACATTGTGCTCATTGAAGCTATATCATATGAATATTAGCACGTTAAATGAATACAGACAATTATTTTGCAGCAAGACTTTGAGCAACAAACAATTATTCAAGGGTTGTTATCGGCGTGCCACGCGGTGTTCGATAATGGGTTCCCCATATCGACGTATACTACGCGAGTAAAATAGATATTTGTCTTCGCGAAATCCGAACACGTGCTGCGCGACGACCACCGCCCTTTAAATTTTAATAATGCACTCTACTAGGTTGCGGAGGAATCTAGTATAGTTGTTAACTGGACTGTGTTATTTGTCCTGCCGAGTTAAGTTTAGTTTTGTAGCAGTTATTTGACGTATGACATTTCAAGACGCATGTATGTAATGCGATGTCTCATTGTACTAATATCACTCCATGCATTCACTTGTGTCCCACAGCGCTGTACTTTTAGATAATAGTCATTTGAATAGCGTATACGTATTTTGCGAACATTCTTCGCATCCGCTTCCTCTACATTTATTCAAGCCACAATAGACTCCAACATCACTAATGTCTGTAACTCTATGAAGCGAATTCACTGACTCAAACCGTTTGCTCCATTCAACGTTGTTTTATAGGTTACAAACTAAAACTTTCCCGCAAAAATAAAACCAATGATCTAGCAAGGCTAATATCATAACGCATTTATGCGTGAAAAATGTAATATTCAGTAATCTTAATGTTTTTCGGTAGGTTGTACGAGTGTTGAACGATCTGTACTCTCTCTTTGATAGTATCATCACCAACCACGATGTGTACAAGGTAAGGCCAGTCTAATGGTAAATAAATAAACCGCAAACAGCCACGGAGAATAATGAATAGTTGTACAGACCAATAACAAAATATGAATAAACGCAATAAAGCATCGGCGAAAATAGACACCGTTTATGCTTCGAATACCATGTCCTGAAATCATAGAGTTCTGGTATATTATCAAGGGAAATCGCGATATCAAGTTGTCTTGGGAAGATTACAAGTAAATCAAATTTTATGTACAATCATTCTCTTTAACCACCAAACCCCGCACACCAGACAACATACTTATCTTAAACATGATGGTGTAACATTTCTTCATAACGGAACACAAGCAGCTGAAAATAAGAATACTTCAAATTAAAAGAAGAAATTAAAACGACTTTATACATGCTTTGTGGACGTAAGAAAGTCCTTTGACAGTGTTTGATAAGTCGGTTTATAAAACAAATTATTAAAATTCGGAGTTACTAAACAAAAAAACGTGTTACTTTACATACATATTCGAGGTACACATATAGATATTCAGAACAGTGATTAACATAGATGTTGTTAACAATTTTAAATACCCGGAGGTTATTTTTGATCAGTGCCTATATTGGGATTATCACGGAAATATGATTATCCAATCTGTTTCGAAACGACCTGAAGCCATTTGGAGAATTCGTAGATTTCTTGACAAAATTATGTGTACTAATAGTTAAGGCGCTGGCGATTCCAATTGTCGCATAATGCCCAGGGGTGTGAATGCAAATGCAAACGCAATGCATACATAACAGAGCTGCCAATTTGGTGTTTGTGTCATGAATTTGTTTTCGCGTATCTGTTGACCGACTTAATTAGCTAATTATTAGCGAATTGCTGTGTTATGTCTGTCATCGTTTAGGTCTATTTGAAGTTTTGGACGGAACTTGGCTCAGTGATTTGGAACTAATTACGAGATAACCGTCGCTATTCTGACTATTAATTCTGACAGTTGGTATCCATAGTTATTAATGTAGTGAACGATTAATCAAAAGATATGACGTATTCAGTACTTAGTGTGATTGGCTTTATGATTGAAGGTTACGCCCTAGAGTCTTTTTACTGTATTGTAATTGGTTAGTGTTTTGAAAATGAATAAAGAGAGTTTTGAGTTGGTCTTGGGGAGTACTCTACGATTGACGCAGTAGAGAGTCCAGTCCTGGGGAGCCTTGGGGCGAGTGTTGACGCAGTCTAAAAGAGTCTTGGGCTTTTCCCCAGGGCGCTGTGTCTTATAGAGTGCTCCACAGACCGACTAAGACGAGAGTTGAAACGTATTTCGTTGTGTGTGTCTTAGTTGACTGTAAAGCTTAAGTGACTTTCCCGATCCCGCACCTCAAGGGGACGAGATATAGAGACGAGACGAGATTCCTCCCTGGCAAGTGTGGAGACCCCGTGGAGAAGAATTTCCCCCCTGATATTTGTTTGGCGTAAACTGACGTTATCTTCTAATGCATTGTTCCTACTAAACTGGCATCCACTTTGTCTCATACTTTAATACTTTTGTTGAAATCCCTGTACGACTACTGATGTAAGATTAATGGTTGGATATGTCAGTGCTTTTTATTTTATCCCGTAAAATACAGTCTGCAATAATGCGTTATAAATTCATGCATGATATAGACTTTTGTATTTATCAGTTAGCTGGCTTTATGATTGATGTAGCTGCTACAAATTTAAAGATACGTTTTCTTCCGTTTTTTAAAAAGAAGACAAAAAAACAGTTTTCTATATAGGCATATCTTTGTAGTACTGTTTAATTGTTGAATTAAAGATTTGCATATTTAAAGATGCGGTTTTGAAAAATAGTAGTTAATTTATTGTATTTTGAGTATAATTGTATCGTCTTTTCAATTTTGTAAAATGTTTTTTTGTATTTATGTAAATCTCTTTGGTGGAAAATTAATTGTTAATTAATTATCCTAGTGATGGTACAATAAATCAACAAAATATAATTAAATAAATATATTGGGATTATTTTTGGCTGTTTTATTTTATTTTATTTTATTTTATTTTATTTTATTTTATTTTATTTTAACTACTTGCTTGTTAATCGTATTAATAGGTAGAAACTATTGGCGATGCATATATGGTAGTTAGTGGGCTACCCATACGTAATGGTAATCGACATGCTGGTGAAATATGTACAATGGCGTTATATCTACTGAGTGCTACCACCACATTTACTATTAGACATATGCCAGATGAGAAATTGAAGCTACGAGTTGGAATTCATTCAGGTATGTAATACGCATCACCCCTTTTGACTTTTGCTGCATTCTAAATGATGAATGACTACAAACACCAAACACAGACGTCGTTTAAGGTCATTTTCACATCACAGAAGCGATTTGTCGCAAGGTATGCAACATATATTGAAGCTGAATTATCAATGGTTTATTGCAGGCCCATGTGTTGCTGGCGTTGTTGGACTCACAATGCCAAGATATTGTCTTTTCGGAGATACAGTAAATACCGCATCACGATATGAATCCAATGGCATTGGTATGTATATAAGCTATTACATGGGAACTGTCTATTCCGCCATGTTTGCAGAGAATTAAAAATGTTCTCATGAACAATTACGTACGTTACATAGATGGAATCGGTTAAACGGAAAGCGATGTACACCGATTTTTTTTCGCATGTTGTCCGCTGACAAGCGAGACAGATGTCGGCATATTACAGGACCCACCTAGTATTTCAAGTGTATTTCACAGTTTGTTACTCCCAGATAGGACGCAGTACGAAACTGTGTATTATGGATTGACCTCCGTATGTGCATGCGTTCATCCGTCTGTGTCCAGCAGTTATTTCACACATGCCTCGAGCGATCAGTTTAAACTTCACGTATACATCATACCTCATATGCACATGTATTTTCATAATCCGGTTTAAGATGGCCAAATTTGTTACATTTTAAGACCGAAAATTTAAAATTATTCAAACATTATCCATATTCTATGCGTATTGTTAACTTTGTTGAAGACTGTCTTTCAAAATCGAATTTAGAAAGTCATAACAGCAAAAATGGTTAAATTATTTTGTTTTCATCATTACAATTTCCCAGCCATACTTACTGGAACAGAAAGCTTTTAAGGTGGAGATGCAGATTTATAGGCACTTGGGAGTGAAATGTTTTCTTTTGCTTTTTATTATCCAAACAGTCTTGGCTAGTATAGACTGTTAAATTTTTGTAGAATTGTGAATAGTGGAACATACTCAAAAAACGATTTTAAAATATAGATAACAGGTGCAAACATTCTCTTTTTTGAATACTTAGCATGGCTGTACATAAATAATAAAAAAGAAACATGGTGAAAAAACGAAATGACGGGATCTCAATTATTATGCACTAAATTTGAATTTTAACAAAACGATAATACATTTAAATTTGGAACTGTTACAGCCATTTTAAATAAGAGCATTAGCAAACTTCTTACTGAGTGAATTGTTATGCAAATTAGCAATTATCTCAGCTTCTTTTTAGTGCACATCCCAGAACTTAAAAAAATAGCTCCCAGACGCTTTGACCTTTTGTTTTGAAACTTTCACAAATGATTGACAATGTGTTCATCTTCAAAACGCCGTCAGGGCATTGTTGTTGGTTGAACAGTGTTACAACAATCGTACAGACAACTAGCCTGGGTGTTAATTTATGCGTAAACTTGAAGTAGTGAAATTTGAGCTGCTGCCCTGCAAAATTGACAACTTTTAGACAGTTTTCAAGACGGCACTTTCTTCATAGTAAACGGATATCCCCATAAACCAATTTTGACAGGAAACAGAAGCATGATCTAGAAGCTAATTTTTTTTAAATCACTTTTGACCAAAAAGCACATTTTTGTGCATATTTGAAACTACGGTGACCATAAACAAAATACTAACAAAATTTTTAAATTCATACAATAAGCTTTCCGAAAGTATATAGATTTGTGGACAAGGGAGAACAGGTTGGTTTCCTAATTAACTAATCAAAATACCTGTCAGGTAAACTGCATCTCTACCTTAAACTAAGTGAAATCTACACTATGAATGAATACATAGAACTCAAAATAGATGCAAAAGTGTGTATCGTAGTCATTTGTGTGGTTTAAACTCGGTTTAAACATCGAACATAACGAGACCTTGATGCACTTCATTGTATCTTTCGGATTGGGCTCAAAATGGCCGACAGGCGGTCAGTTTGGTGGCATCATATCGAACAAACGCACGTGCATTTGTGTCGTCATCAAATATATAATAAGTAACTGGTGGCCATCTTGTTAAAACGAATGCAGTTCCACGGAGACATCTCATACATATCGCTCGGTATTGTGGAATACACACGATATCTCGCGCCTATAATACAAACGAGGACATTGACAATGACTATATTTACTATATTGTAATAATAGCGCCTCTATTTTACTACAGGACTTCGTATACACATTAGTGGTGAGACAGTGTCATTGTTGAATATGCTAGGTGGTTATTTAGTAAAGAAACGGGGCGAAGTGTTCATGAAGGTAACACATTTATTTATTTAGTAATTTTAGTGAATAGGGGCCATTTTGGCACTATTATAACGCTTTTATCATAGGTTGCTATGGCAGAGATATTATGCCATATCTCAAATTGTAGGCTGGTGACACAAGATGGAAAATCATATATATATTGTTAATGATGAGATACTTTTTGTTTTTCCGAATTATTTAAATAATGTGCTCAATAGAATATTAGGACAAGTTTCCCAAAATACGTCACTGTAAGACACAAAATGATGCTATTTCATGCTGCCATGGAACAATAGCTCTATGATTTTTCACATAATAAATCAATGAACATTGTCATGCGATTGATGGCTTACTTTCCCCAAAAATATGAGTAGGCCTATATCTTAATATTGTTGAATGTATCCATTTCTGTCCTACAGTCATCGCGTCGTGTTAGATGTGAGCTCTCCGATGTGAGTATTCTCGAGAGCGAACATACGGGAGTTTTCACCGCCAGGGCAACCATCGCCGGTGACGAAAACTCCCAAAATACTGTACTTTGAGCTAAAGTCGAGAAAACAACACAAACTCAAATGAGACAATCCCGAACAACCAAATCTATATATGCTGCACATGTATGGATAATCTTGTAACACTGTTCAGGATAATCTCAACAAATAGCCCGAAGCACAGTTTTTAAAGAGTTTTCGCCTGTTGTTGTCACCGCTTGTGGTTGCCAGGCATTAAAAATGCCAGGATGTTCGCTCCCGCGAATAACGAAATTCGAACCACTGCACAATGACGGCGGTGCGTTTTTTATGTGTGCTTCAGTACAGTTATACAATTTATATATTAAATGCTCAGGGTAAAGGAAACCAGCTTACGTATTGGTTAATTGGGAAAGATGGATTCGACAAACCACTCCCTGATGTAGACCAGCCATTCTTCTGAAGTGATGTTCGTGAATACAGTATGATATACTTCACACAGTCAACATTTAGTTTAGTTATTCAAGTTTATTTTATAATCGTGTATGAATATTAAGAAAAATTTTGTATCACAACATATTACATTGTTATTTATTTATTTATTTATTTATTTATTTATTTATTTATTTATTTATTTATTTATTTATTTATTTATTTATTTATTTATTTATTTATTTATTACATTAACATGATATTATATTAATATCTGTACGTCATTGATCAATTGATATACGTTTAATTTCATTATACAATATAATAGATTAATATTCATGTTTAATTTTTCTAATGTACTTTAATGTTGGCAGGATTCAGTTGGATAATTGGGACCGACATGCTTGGTCATATTTAAA